AAGTGTTTGCAAATCCAAGCTCCAAGAGCACACGTTTGCATCTCAGCCACAATGCCTGACATTGAAAACCCTGCAGAAGAATTGAAAATATGTTGAAATTATGCTTTGGCCTTGCCGCAAATCAACGACATCACTAATAGATATATATGTAGATATGAGCTAAAATGGAGTAATACATTTATGTTATTTTTGGTATTGCTGTGAGTCCTTAAGTGTTATTTAGCAAATTAGTGAATGTTAGCAAATGAGACAACTAAAGTAAATGAACACATGAGTGTGTATACACAATAAAAGAGTGAACAGTGTAAACTGTGAAATCTTTGGACTCTCCTAAACCACAGCATAATGGATTTTTTTGCACAGAAGGAACTCCTCACTCCCTGACCACCAAATACCATCCCTTCAGTCATCTCTCTAACAAAAGGTGTTTCTGGATCTTAGGGTAAGCATTTAGGTTCTTACGGTATTAGCTACCCACATCGTATGCAGGTCCTGCTTAACCAGATGGCCTGTAATCTGGTCTCCCTTGAAGCTCAAAGCACCACATAAAAACTCCTAATTGGGGTAGTATATTCAGAAAGTAATGACCTCAGTCAGTGCTTCTCAAAGTGGGTTACATCATGCAAAAGGATCATGAGAAAGCTCTAAGGTAATCAGCAAGAGCTGCAAAAAAACCCAAACCTAACTACATTTGAAAAAAAATCACTAAAAAGCATAAAATTATAGAAAATATGGGATGATAATAAAACTAAATTATACTTCAACATATTTAAACCAAAAACAAGCTCCTCAAGTCTGAGAGAGTATTTTACAATTGCAAGCTGCTTACAGCCAACTCTTACCCCTCTTGTGGAAAAGAAATTGAGTTTTCACTGGCAGTTAAGGGAAATAGGCTTTTCTCAGGTTTGTATGGGAGAAGGGAACGTAAGGAACTACAGTAAGTACACAGATCAGGAAAATATTTTTTTAAAAATAAATGAATTGATTAAAGTATTTTTTTATGAGCTGATGTTATAGAAATCTGGTAGAATTTTTAGAACTTTGCAAGATCACAAATGGCCATGAAAATGATCAGGGTGCTGGAGCACCTCTCTTATGAAGACAGGCTGAGGGAGTTGGAGTTGTTCAACCTGAAGATGAGAAGACTCTGGAAGACCTTATAGCGACCTTCCAATACCTGAGAGGAGCCTGTAAGAAGGCTGGGGATGACCTCTTTACAAGGGCATATAATGTAAGACAAAGGGTAATGGTTTCAAGCTAGAGAAGGGTAGATTTAGACTGAACACTAGGAAAAAGTCCTTTAATATGAGGGGAGTGGATCACTGAGAGAGATTGCCTAGAAAAGTGGTGGAGGCCCCAACCCTGGAGACATTCAAGGTCAGGCTTGATGGGGCTCTGAGGAATCTGTTCTAGTTGGGAGATGTCCCTTCTTATAGTAGGGGGGGTTGGACTAGGTGACCTTTAGAGGTCCCTTCCAACCCAATACATTCTATGATTCTATGATTAAGATCCAACCCAGTACTCCCTTCTTGAAATCAGTGGGAGTTTTGCCAATGCCTACTTCCAAGGGGAGCAGAATAAGTCCCACACTGACCAGTAATGAAAATTCCATCCTTAACATATTCAACTTTCAAGTTTTTAACAGAAAAGGAGGGGAAAACCATGAGCAGGACCTTCTGAATTTACAGTCTATTGTGCTGAAGTCTAGCCTGCTGCTTACAGCTTACTGGTTTGGTTTGAGAAATTTAATATGATTGGAGCTGTTGTACTAAAACTGAACAAAGTCCTGTGAACAACGTGAAACTTCACAGTTATATCAAATGTAACTTTGCAGAGGCAACAGTAGCAACAATAATAGAAAAATAAATTTTAAAAAGGCAGATAATAGAGAAGCTGATAAGAATAATTAATTTGGGTATGCAAGAGGAGACAATCAATGAGACTTCCCTCAATAATTTTGCTGAAATAAATCCAACCAGAAGGCAGTGAACATGAAATGTATTTAGTCACCTCTTCCTGCCTAATATATGAGAGCAGATTTCTCCTCAAGGCACTATCCCTCAAGCTGCCAATTACAGGTCCTGAAATTCCTCTTTATCCAACTTTTTTTTCAGACATCTACCCAGTGGGTGCCGTTTTACTCCTCCTCATTTGGCTTCTTTGTCCAGTAAAAGAGAGAATTAACAAAATTCTAATCAATACAGGTTAAAGAGTCTTCCTCACTCTAACATATCTACTATCCTGACTTGAGGATAGTAACAGTTCAAATAAAAAAACCCCTATATTCAACACATCAGAATTACTAGACTGCTAGTAAAGCAGTAAGCAGGCATAAAAACTGCCTTCTAGAAAGGCTTTTCTCCCCTAATTATTAGTGAACTTCGTAACAGAGATTTCAGTGGCGTCAAAACAAAACACATATAATCTGCACATTAGGCATGTCAGAGAAATGCCGTGCTCGTAAGATACTTCAGGCAGTTCACCTCCCAGCAGCACAACAGTACTCGCACCAAAATACTGTGCAAAATGCAGGGTACAAAACTAAAATATACCACTTTACAGAATAGGAAGTTTCACTGAAATTGCTACAAAGCAGCACATACATTGCTATAATAGAAACCAAATGCAATACTGAAGAATGGATGGAAAAGACTTCAAGTATACCAAAGAATGGCACTTTGTCATCCATCATACACATGAACATAATATGAAGAAACGTACCTAATAACACTTAATTGTCCCAGCCTCAGAAGGACAGGTGTACAGATGGATATATACAACTCTTCTCTATTAAGCAAAGCATTTGCAATATATTGTCAAGAGAATTCCAGGACAATGCTGTTTAAGTCTCAATATTTTATATGTGGATGAAGCAGAACTTCAACCCACAAACAGCTTATAATATTTGCCTTCAGTGCACAGAAATAGCATTTAAACATAAGGAAAATGTTAAATCTCTGTAAAAGAAAAGGCAACAAAACCATAAACCTGAGATTTTTTGAATTATTAAAAATTTTGAGCACGTATGGAATAAAAGCAGTAATCTAAAAGCACTTTCAAAAAACACCCCAAAATGTGTATTGCCTGCTCAAAATTTTATATCCTGAAGTTGTATAGTTTCGGCCAGACCAGAAGTTGAAGTTTCCTTTTATAATAGCATTTAGATTCAGAAGCAAATGCTTTTCTTTCTTCACTTTTCAAATTCAATCAGATATGTCCCTACTTTTTTAAAGTTCAGAAACGTTTAACACCACTCATAAGATCAGAGGACTCTCATTGTTATTCCAATAAAGCAGGGCTATAAAGCCCCAACTGAGGTTACTGGATGGGATTAAGTTAAAGATTATGTGTCTATCTGCAGGTGTCCAATAAGCACAGCAGATGTCTAACGTCTCATTCTAGTTATCAGAGTTCCAGTCTGACTGCACCAAAGGAGCTTAAGTCAGATCACCTTCAAAGCAGACACCCAACCAAGCAGCTACACCTCACTTTACATTATAGTGGATGTGTTGACTAGACAGGTATTTACTACAGGAGCAGCTTAGACATCTCAAAGCTGGTTCACTTGCCCATACATTTGGGATGTCATAGGATAATTAATCTTGACTCCACCTTTTTTTCCAGAACACCTCTGTTCTCTGATCGTCCATGCTGTACCTACTGACCTTGTGCAGTTGTCTCTGCTGACATAAAGGGTTTCATATGGTCATAGACACCTTACTATTTTTTAATTAAGCACACTGCTAGCACAGATACAGGCACCTATAATTCAGGTATTGATCTCAAATGGAATCTCTTCTATTATGCTACTATAAAAATTTTCTGAGAATATAGGAAAAGGCATCAATTAATACGATGTAATAAACACATAAAAAGAAGAAACAAACACTTCCAGGAGTATATTTATTTCAGTAAGTCTATCAAACATTGCATTTCAAATTCTACTGTAGTTTTGTATGGTATTTTCCCAGGTAGTTTTGTATGGTAAATTCCCATGCAATTAAAAATATATGTACAAACAGAGGTAGTCATTCTGTATCAGCAGATTTTCTTTTAAGCCTTTAAAAGCCTGTAATGTTATACCAAATGGCAAATTTTCCCCTCATTTTGATTCACCGTTCCCTTTCCAATTGCTACAAAATACAGCATTATTTATAGCTTGACATGTACTCTACAGTATTCTTAGAACTACAGTACATTTGCTGGACCTCACATACAAGTTACAGATAACCCCCCCACCTCCACTCCATACTACCTCATCAACAATAGCTCCCTTCAGTAGTTAGACTGGTACCAGTTTTTGTCACGCATATCAGACTATCTCCATCAGCGCTCATTGCTGAATATTTGATAGCCACCAAACATCACACACTTCACAGATACCATTGTTATTTACTACACGTTACATGGACTTCTTCCACAGAAAAGGACAGAGTCACAGGAATAATTTTGAGGCAGCTATACTACATCTGCAATCATCCCCCACAAATGGGATAATTTGTCTACTGAAAAATCAGAAATTGTTACTTTAACCACTCTCACAAGAAATCTTTCTCTACTCTCACATACAAGTTACAGATAACCCCCCCACCTCCACTCCATACTACCTCATCAACAATAGCTCCCTTCAGTAGTTAGACTGGTACCAGTTTTTGTCACGCATATCAGACTATCTCCATCAGCGCTCATTGCTGAATATTTGATAGCCACCAAACATCACACACTTCACAGATACCATTGTTATTTACTACACGTTACATGGACTTCTTCCACAGAAAAGGACAGAGTCACAGGAATAATTTTGAGGCAGCTATACTACATCTGCAATCATCCCCCACAAATGGGATAATTTGTCTACTGAAAAATCAGAATTTGTTACTTTAACCACTCTCACAAGAAATCCTTCCCTACTCCCAGTCATGTTTTAAAAGCTTTTTAGGAAAGTCTAAACATGATAAACTTTCTTATATAACCAATATGGCAAATTTCAAAATACTTACGGTTGACGTGGTCAATATAGTACACACCAATCTGAGGATCACATGCAGCTTCCCATCCCCATGGTAGTTCATCTCCAACACAATCCGCAAACGACAAGGGCTTGGTTAACCTAAAAAGAAAGAAACAAGTTAATGGTATAGCTCTTCTCTCTCTTCTACATGTTATATGTTTGTTATTCATATTAATTCCTATTATGCCAGTAAAGAAAAATAGCAGGGAGAAAGGAAAGCAAGTTGTTTTCTCACTCTTAAACTTTAGGCTGTTGATTGTTTTTCCTCTATTCCATCCTTCTGAATTCATTAACTCCAAGAACATAAGTTATTGCAAACGTTTTTCAGTACAGGCACTCAAGTGTGAAATTCACTGCAGCATCTTTCACGTTTGACATTTTAAAATTAAACACTAACCAATACCTTGTAAAAAAAACATAAAAATAATCTACACTCCTGTTTGTCCCGAGAACAACAGGACCCTTCAACCTTGAGTCTGTGATGACAGTACAAGATTTCAAGGTGCACAGACAGGAAACTCTGAAAAGATAACAGAACCACCTAAGATGCATTTAGCCACTTTTGTCAATCCATGTACTTGAATAAAATATGCAGCAGTGAGCATAAAGTAGACATTTTATAAGAAACATTTAGTGGGCCTTAAATGTTCACATGGTGCTTATTTTAGGAAGATAAACAATTAAAGTTTTTCATTTTAATAATGGAGCACCTATTTATAACTTGAAATAGACTGGTAACAATAAAGCATGGGCCCTTTTCCAATGGAGGCTGAGCAATGCTTTATCATCTTTTTGACTTTTAAAAAAAAATATAAATTACTATTGAGTTTCCTGTTAATAAACCCACAGATATTTGTCATGTCTAATATACTGATATATTTAACAGGAAGAACAAGAGATTTAAGGTTTTATTGTCACCACAGTGACAGTAAGATTAGTACATATCCAGAGTTTTAAAAAACTCCTCAAAGTAAGAACATCATGAGCAGGTTTTTTAAATGGTAAGCATTAATCCACTTCCTCATATTTCTCCAAAGTTTACAACATAATCCTATGAAGGTTACTAATGCTTGATTTGAGGTCCTACATACACTCACATGTATAAGGCAAATTCGCTAATTTATTGCCACTTACAAACTGCTATACAAAACCACTAACCACTCTGAAGACTATTAAAGAATTCAGGGGAGTTTACTAATGTAGAATTACATCTGGACCACCAGAATATACAATACAGATTATAGGCAGCACAAGGAAACTGTGAGAAAAGTTCTGCTTACTGGGATTCTCCATGAGAATGGCAAGCCACAGACACTCTTTTCAGTACAGTGAGAAGGTGTAGCTTCTGTAGTACCTGCTCTCCTCAACCCACTCACTACCTGCTGCCTCACAGTTAAAGAGGTCCTTTTCTAAATGAAATCTTAAACAGACATTACCCATCCTCCTCACGATGATGCAGGAGAGGACATCCCACTGAAGCTGACAAGGGTAAACTCCCCAGCAATGTCCAGGGAAAGAATAGGTCTGTAGTAAGCCAAGCCCACTTCTTGTATCCTCTCCCACTGCTAACATATGTTTTTTAATTCAGACACAGTACTGCTCTGGGTGTAGCTGTTCTGACAAGGAGCTCTCTAGAAACGCCAGCTCAGACCTGCCACCCTGCTCCTCACCCTTCCTCCTCCTTTCAGAGCAGCAGCAGCTCTGCTGCAGTGGCCAGGATGGTAGTTACACAGCTCAGCAGGCGAACAGCTGGCCTGCAAAGCTGCAGCTGCCATAGCAAAACTGCCTCATCAAATACACCTGTCCAAATGCTACCTACTAACAATTACCAGCATCACTTCCAAGATGACTGTTTTGTTTGTGACTTTGGTTAGCCACATGAACTTGTGCCAACTGCAAGGGCACATCGTGCTCTGAAGAAAATCCTGCCTCAAATTAGATTACAAATGTGAATTTTCATGAAACATTTTAAACTGAATAAAAGCAGTTCAACATCATCCTTAGCCTTAACATTATAATACTAAATCAAACATAAGTCTCATAGATTGAGCAGAAAAAATATTTGAAATGCCATATAGAGTAGGGATCATATCAACCTCATATAAACATGGCCAGATGGTCTCTAATAAATTGATTTAGAATTCTGCATAAGCATTCAATACTTTCACCAATGATGCACACCACAGCCAGCAACAATCACAATTTTTTAAACCACGCCTAAAGGAAAGATATAAACCCAGAACTGTCCTTGGCTTTTCATCTGACCTCCATACCAATTTTTTTTTTGATCCAATATTGACTTCTTACTAGTACAGTGCATTCTGTATGTTAAGACCACAGATCACTCTGGCCATGCAGATGGTCCTTTCCAGGTGTTATCACGGACACCGTGAGAATGAATAGCAGCCACTTTCTCATGCCAGACACTATAAACTAGAGCAACACTAAACACTTTGGAGAAGTACATGAGTGACCCACTCTAGACCTTAATCAAAAGAAGGAGATAGAGGTCTTACAATATGGGCAGTACTGGACAGATTACTGTATGACTTTTGCTCTGCTGGATCAGATCATGCTTGGACATAGCAGCCTCAAGATCTGAACTGTCAGGAGAACTGTTCCCAAGTAGATTTTAAAAACATGAAGAGGCTTGTACATAGTGATCACAATTAAGAGTGCTGCCTCCCCAAGACTCTTTTTTGTTCCATAGTCTTTTAATAGCACAGCATTTTTAAGCCTGGCATAGGCTTTTACAACTGAGCAGCAACCAGCACCAGGCGATACCTGTTTGCTAGGGCCATGAGAACTGTCTCAACAAACAGTATTTACTTTCAAACTACCCATGGCAAATGGATGAGATTAACATGACATGAAAAATGCAAGAAAAAATTCACAAGACAAAAGTTGAAAGCAAAGGGAGTTACTAGATGTAATTGGAAAGGAAGTAATACCTAGGAGCAAGGACTGAAGGAATCTTGTCTGTGTGAAGATCATTATCTGTGTCATAATTACCTATGACAGACAGACTGCCAATGCATTCATGAACCCTGACACGAGAAAAATTAGGTTTATTGCACAATAACAGAGGATTAAGTCCTGTATCTCAGGGCACTGATATTCTGAGCTTGTTTGTAATAATCAATTTACATGTTCTTAAAAGAATGGTGATACTCCAAAAAGGATGATATTAAAGCCTGCACTTCATAGAATCATTAAGGTTGGAAAGGACCTCAAAGATCATGAAGTTCCAACCTCCCTGCCATGAGCAGGGAACCCTGCCACTAGACCAGGTTGCATAAAACCTCATCCAGCCTGGCTTTAAAAGCCTCCAGGGATGGGCCATCAGAAACCTCCCTGGGCAACCCATTCCAGTTCCTCACCACTCTTTTAGTGAAGAACTTCTTCCTAATATCTAACCTAAATCTCCCCTCTCTCACATTATCTCCTATCCTATCACTATCTTCCCTGATGAAAAGCCCCTCCCCAGCTTTCCTGCAGGTCCCCTTCAAGTACTGGAAGGTCACTATAAGGTCTCCCTGGAGCCTTCTCTTCTCTAGGCTGAACAGCCCCAGTTCTCTCAGCCTGTCTTCATAGCAGAGGTGCTCCAGGCCTTTGATCATCTTGGTGGCCCTTCTCTGGACCCTCTCCAACAGGTCTATATCTTTCTTGTGCTGAGGGCACCCCACGTCCTTCTCCTCAGGACTGCTCACAATCCCTTCTCCCCCCAGCCTGTATTTGTGCCTGGGGTTGTGCCAATGAAGTATATGATGAAGTTTAAAAAGGTGGTTTTTTTAAAATTCATATTATTAAGCTCAAGTATTCTCACTTATGGGCACTTTTTTTTTTTTTTTTAACCTTATAGAACTTCTTCCAAATAAAGACTATCTTATTAGTTTTTAGCTCATATAGAACATTTTTATCTACTCAACCCTGTATGGCTGCAACACCCCTATTTCAGCATATGGCTTGAAGAGTACTCCCCAGACCAAAAGAACAAGAAGTAGCTGTGTGTAATGAGAAGTGGCTACTCTTAAGAAAACCAGGAAGCATTCTGCTATTCCATTATGTAAACAGTATATAATTATGCTCTTGCCAATCACTTCACAGATGCCTTGGGAAACGTAGGAGACAAATACAGCTTACAAATTGAGAAGCTGTATTACCACCTCAAATCCACGCTTTTCTTCAAAGTTTTCAAAACATAGTTAGCTAAGACCTTAGAATGTAGATTCTACAATTGTGTGTGTTATGATTAACAGTTGTTATTGCACTGACTGCCATGCCTATAAGTCTGTATGTGCACCTAAAGTTAATAAAGAGGCCGACAATACTGAAAAATGGCACCTTACCTATGAACTGATGGATTGTCAGGGCAATATTGTTCCATTTGGACACCTTTGTTGCTTGACGTACTACCTAGACTGCACACAAACACAATTTTTAACAGGTTCTTCTATGCAAGAGTATTGCTGCATTCCTTCCCTGACTCATTTTTTCTCTAAAATCTCTTCAGGATTAAATCAACTGTAATATTGAACCAGAGGTTATCAATACTATGATTTGGACTCTGTCTTACCAATAGGAAACTCTGGCCTTTGGTTTTCACTGTCTTCTAAACTCAGCAGATCCAGAATTACTGATTTCCTTAGCATATTTGAAGACCCAATTTTATCCACACTGAAGGACTGAGTACAGATTAACATGTTTTGCTTAGTTGTGATGGAAAATGTGGGAAAGAAAGAAAGGTTACAATAGGCAGATCTGAGAGAACAGGGGGAGGGTGGTGAGGAGGAAGGAGAAACAGACAATGAAACCCCAACACACGTAAGACGAAAGAAGGAAAGAAGGAAAGAAGGAAAGAAGGAAAGAAGGAAAGAAGGAAAGAAGGAAAGAAGGAAAGAAGGAAAGAAGGAAAGAAGGAAAGAAGGAAAGAAAGAAAGAAAGAAAGAAAAAAGAAAGGAAGAAAGGAAGAAAGGAAGAAAGAAAGAAAGAAAGAAAGAAAGAAAGAAAGAAAGAAAGAAAGAAAGAAAGAAAGAAAGAAAGAAAGAAAGAAAGAAAGAAAGAAAGAAAGAAAGAAAGAAAGAAAGAAAGA